GGGGGGGGGGGGGGGGGGGGGGGGGGGGGGGGGGGGGGGGGGGGGGGGGGGGTAGATGACACCATAAATACACCCCTCGCCATCCGCAATCACCACATACTGTATCAGAACAGCGACGTCAAATGTCCGTCCAAAGGGTAGTAAGGTCATGTTGGTTCGTTGGTGCACTACTCACCGTGACCTCGGAGGCTGTGGCGGGACCGCAGAGCACGTGGGTACCGGTGTCTTGGTTCCTCGGCAATTCGTACACGCGCCTGTGTCGCAAGCAAGTCACAACAAGGCACCACAGCATTGGGGATAAAAACAAACGCAGACAGATTCGGCGGTGGTTTCGCTTGCGTGCAGACAAAACAAGACATGTATGTCCGTCCAAAAATTAAATAGAAAATTAATCGTGGCACACCGGCAAGAGATATTAATTAGCAAGGCGGCTAGCAGCTTCTCTGCGACAAAAGAAACAGACTTGAACAGTTTTTCTGCTACAATGTACAAGCTAAGCTCCGTGTACGACGAGACAGCGGTCGGTACGATACAAGCGCACGTTCCATCTGGTATTCTATGATACAACAAACACGAGCGCTACTACAGAAAACAAACAACGGGAGACAAGAACTGGATGGCTCATCGGAGTCAACGAATGCTTGAGTAAGGGCAAGCGTGTGGTACAGTACGTATCGTATTATCGGCGTTGGGGCGTCTCAAACGTTCTCAAACGTTCTCAAACCACTCACGTGTCCTCAACAATGTCTCCGGCCACCTGTTTCAAGCACGGCTCCCCGTCCCTGCTGTGCCTCCCGCAGGTCCACCCTCTTTCATCGGCAAGCCTTAGCCAGAGGTGGTCTTGTCCCACAGGCAAAAGCTGCACCAACCACAGGATACAGAGAGATCAAGTCAAGACACGGAGAGCCTAATTCCAGCCAGCCACAAAGAGAGCATATTCCAGACAGACGCAGAGAGACAGATAGAGACGGAGACAGAGAGACCCACACACCTGCACGACCTCGACGACTTCCATGGGGAAGACGCCTTCTCCCGTGCGAGGCGCCCCTTCCTCAGGGTGTGTGTAGATCCACTGCGATGCGCCATTCTCGGGCATGCCGTAGAAGAAACGCCCCTTCGTCCTGACAACACAACAAGCAATAAATAACAAACAAATCAGAGCACATAGAGCATGCTGTTCATGAGAGGAGGAGGTTTAGTCACGTTATCGTCTTGTTTGTTTTTCCGGTCGGACTGGACTGTCCCTGTTGCTCTCGGTTTTTGACTGGTTCGGTGATGGAGGTGTTACAGTGTCAGCAGTACCGCCCCGAACAACGGGAATGCAGGCTGCTTTCTCTCCCGGGTGGCAGGTGTACCAGAGAGTGCTTCACTTTCGAAACTTCCAAATAGCCGGTGCGAGAGACAGCCAACATGCAACATGCAACATCAGGAGCACTTCAGGCAAAGAGAGAGAGAGAGAGAGAGAGAGAGAGAGAGAGAGAGAGAGAGAGAGAGATGTAGAGCTGCGGCAGCACCGTGGCACACCCACGAAACACAGCATCAACCTTCAACCTTCAGTGCGGTGGTGGCACGTCTACTTCAACCTAACATGTTTTGTAGTGCAAGGAAAAACGTAGTTGGCTTCTTTCTAGAAGTCACACGTGGTTACTTTGCATTTATCTGTTTTGTTCCTCAGGGTAGGTGGCGATGCCAAAGAGTATCAACTTCACCACCGCTACAAACAGCTTCCGTACATGTAGCATACGACCAAGCAAGGCATAGTGCTACACACCACCAAGGCATGCACACACCAAACAACAACACGCCACGACAATGGGACTGGTGACGTACCCTTGGCCCCAGTAGTTGTCCGGCGGCGGCGTGAAGTTCTTGAGGAACAGGCTGTAAATCTGTGCATTGATCGCCGTCATCCACCGCGTCATCAGCTCGTGGTCCTGGGCAATGAGGAACCATGCGTTCTGCTCGCAATCGCAACGGAGAGATTGATAAGTCAAGGCACGACGGGACGAAAAAAGATATGTTGGCGGGGCACGTGGACAGAAACAAGGACATGGCAGGCAGGCGGTGGAAATACAAGGTACCACGTATCTGGGCAACGCGTTGAGTTGGAGTGAGATCGAGAACGCTAATGCTGTGATCTCAAACCTGCCCAACGGACTATTTCCACTGCCACGGCCGTACATACTTCATGGCGTGTCGCAAAACCACAGCCAACCGCATGCGTAGCGTGTAACGTTGGCCAAATCCAACACAATACTCAAAACGACAGCATCGAAATCGAGCGGCACGCAGCAGAAACGAAAGGCTGAACCACTACATGCATGTCTTTTATTCGCATGCGTCTTTTCTTCCATCACGTTCACAATGCATGTTCCACGCTTCGAAGTCACGGCAACTGATATCACCAATCAAGAAAACGAAAACCATCAACGTTGAAGCTCACCTGCCCCGTGCGCACACAGAAGCAGCACTTGGTGTTGGTGAAGGCCGTCGTAGATTGAGGCTTCAGCTCAAGCGTCTGCGCGCAAGCGACAGCGGAATACCGCACGCAGACGTCGTCGAAGCATCAAGAATACCCGCAGGGAAGGAAGGGGACAGGTTTGATAGGTATTTATAGGTCTTTCAACGTGAGCGATCGACCGTATACAACGCCGAGACCGGCAATGACACATGGAACCACGGCAGCATTATTTTCTGGTCACCCTCCTAGAAACACAGCAGGAGCAGTCAAGCCTTTTCCGACCTCAAGGTGAGACTTCGTGCCATTATCTTACTGACAACGTTGTCGGTTCGTACGCATATCTCCACCGATAGATCCATGTACATACAGACATACATACATACATACATACATACATACATACATACGCGCCGCGCCGATCACGCAAGCACAACACCCTACAGCAAGGACCTAGGCACCTTGCGCTTGCGTGTCCCGACGAGGGACTTCTTGTCGTAGTGTGTCAAGAAACCGTCCTCGAGCTTGAAGTAGTACGTCTGCCATCGTGCGGTGAACCTCTTCTGCTTCATCAGGTGGCCCTGTTGTATGTACACAGGAAGGTGAACGGCCGAGTAGCACAACAACATCGAGGAGCAGCAGCAGCAGCAGCAGCAGCGGAGAGGGAGCGCGGTCGCTTGAGTGTAAGTACACAAGTACACTGTAGGAAGGTTGGCCGTGAGTAGACCTGACGGAGTCGGGATACATGCCACCAAGGCTCTAGAAATAGAAATCCATTAACAACTACCTCCGTTCCAGGGAGAAGCGACAGCCTTGGCTGTTGTAAGAAGAACGCGAGGATGAGGATTGGGGGATTGATGAAAAGTCTTCCCTGGATGTTCTCCGAGAGAGGCGGTGCCACGAAATGCGCACGCACAAGTACAATCCCCCCCAAACCACATATGCACGCCGTTCCAAACTACCCACGCACAGCAGCTGTGAGTCTGTAATATTATACCTCCATCATGCCCCCTTCCATTGCTTCTTGGAACACGGTCTCGAAGTGGTTCCGGCCAGTCGCAGACTTGGGTCCAAGCCTCGTCGAAACCATCTTCGAAGAGGTGGCATCGTTCTCCGAGCTCTGCTTGGGAGGGGGGCTGTGAAGGGCGCCACACGTATAGGGAAACAGTTTGGGTGCTGTTCAGCTCGATGCTGAGTCCCTCCCGGCAGAACGGGGTGGGCAGAACGGGGTGGGCAAGGCCATCTGCATGCCTTTGGTTCACTCAAGTTTGTAAGTTTTGCTGGTGTCGGGTGACCTGCCTGGCTATCCATGGGTGGTTGTTGGCCGCACGCTTGTAGTTTACAAACTGGTGCGGTTATGGTTGACTGCCTTGGGGGTGTGGGTGTTTCGAACGCCGCTGCCCCAAGCCTCAGCCAGTCCCGCGGTGCTCGTCCTTAGGACATGCAATGGTTGCCAGACACTCGAAAAGTCTGATCCATGTAATCAGTACCAACCCTGAACAGCAAGTAGTCCGTGGTACAAAACTGCGACCTGACCACATGATCTCCAATGAGCCCCGAGATTAAGATGCATCAAAACCATCAAACCACACCCGACCACGCGATCGATCCATGGTGTTTACCTGGGTTCCGGGGTCCTGATCATCTGCGAGCCGAGGAGATCCTTAACCGACGCCGTGCGCCTGCGCGACAAGCCGCGGGTCTGCGGGGCCTTTGATACGAGGTCGTCGTGACCATCCTGTTCCTGCAGAAAGGCAGGAAGAAGGACGAGGCAGCGAGCAGACAACAAGACAACAGGCGTCGCATTCAAAAGTTGCCAACGGGAACAAGCATTTCCTCCGTTTCATCCAGCCTCAGCCTCGACGGCAGTACCTTCCTTCGCTTGGACAAACGAAGTAAAGGCATCGCCCGGCGGCCAAGATGGAGCCATCCTCTGGCTTGACCTGTTACCCGTGGTGTCGTACCCTTTTAGCTATGCTAACAATTACCTCGTCGCCGTCTTTGTCCGTGATGTCCATGACCGACAGTTTCTCCGAAGCGCTGGCAGCGGCGGCGGCGGCGGCCCGTTGTTTTTCTGTCTCTGCCGCAGCAGCGGCGGCAGCGGCGACCTCCTTTTGTTTCTCTACGGAGGCAGCGGCGGCAGCGGCGGCGGCAGCGGCCGCTTCCTTCTCCCTGGCCTTCGCCTTCTCTTCCTCCGCCATCTTGGCCTCCTTTGCCTCCTCTTCCTCGTCGTTCGCCGCCTTCACCAGCACCTTGAACGCGCTGCATCAACCAGCCAGACGAAATACAAAGAAAAAAACCGTTATAGTGTACAGTATGCATACGCACACAACGAAAAACAACAGACACAGGACAAGCAACAGCGGACGTCAGCTTCCTTGGTTTCTCGTGTGCTAAGAATTTGTTTGTCGCTCGTGGCACATGTAACGAGGCAGCCTTGCCCTCTTCCGCCTGATTACTGTAAGCGTGCAGCTATTACCCTTGGTAGTGTCCTCCAGGATAACTTGATAAGTTTTAGACCCGTGCCTTGACCTGTCCCAAACACTAAAAAACCCGTGGGACGCAATGGACCACGCTTCTTTGGAGGAGAGAGCCTCGCCACACAAGTCCAACTCTTACTCAGCTACAGTACCCCTCCGAAGCCATCGATCGCAGCGACTACAACATTGGGTACCGCCTGCGGCTTCCGCTGAGGTTGACATCGTGCCCACGACCCAGCCAAACCGGAGGAGACCAGGATAGACTTTCCCACACAACCTCCACGGCACCTCTCGCCCTCATGGGGTCCCAGATCAAGGCCACTTTCGCGTTTTCAACTGCACTGAGACTGACGTCTTTTCGTTGATCAGCCGGTTAGCGCGGTCGATGCCAACAACAAACGAAAACACGCAAAGACAGCACACACCTGAATGAAGCCGCCGCCTTCTCCCCCGCGGCCGCCACGCTCCCCACCATGGCCTTCGCCTTCTCCAACGACTGCTTCTGTAACTGGGAGGCCTGCGCCGCTGTCTTGGCCCCGATCAACACCACGCGCGCCTGTCCGTCGAACACCGCGGCCTTTGTGGTGGCGGCCGAAGCCATCTCCTCCGTCTTCTGCACTTGGCACTTGTCGGCGGCCTCCTGGGCGCCCTGGGCCAGCGCCTTCACCTCCTTGAAGGAGGCCTTGAGCCTGTTGAGGCCGTCCTCGAGCCTGCGCAGCGCGGTCGCTTCGTCGCCTCCCTTAATCGTCTTGATGTCCACTTCCAACTCGGAGGCCCTGGTCGCGTGTGTGTGGGCAGCCGGGAGGCGGAGGCGGAAAGCGGGTTAGCCAGCGAGGTTTGGAGTTCATTCAGCCAGCGGCGCAACGGTACGGTACGGTACGGTATACGTATGTCGTCGAGGCTGGTTGGTTCTCGCTGTCCTCGGAACCTAGCGATCACAGGACCCACACCATGAATGGGTAGGGCATGGCACAGCACGGCTTTGGAACAAGATCGGCGACAAGGATCGGGGTCGGCCAGGACTACCGGCGGCAGCACAGATTGGCGGCAAGACGAAACGTCGGCTGGCGGCAAAAGTCTTTCGGCCGTCGCTAGCCGATTGCTTGCCGAGTTATCACATGATTTCTTTTCCATGTCAAGCACTTTTCCACCCAAAGCATGTAAATGCATACTTTGCAAACGAGCGACTCGAGGCGACTCGATAGCCTAGTTAACAGCATAGTACAGCACAGCAAGGAGGTGGGTCAGCCAAGTCAGTCAAGTCAGTCAAGTCAGTCATGATTCTCTGTATGCCTGTCAGTCTTGTCTGTCTCACTTGGTGGAGGCGTCGTCGATGTCCGCAAGCGTCGTCTCGGAGGCGGCAACAACACGGTCCTTTGCCCCGATGGCGTAAGTGCCAATCTTGTCTTCGTCTACCGCACCCAGGAGTTGTCGCACCTATGCATACAACCGCCACGCCGCATGTATATCGCGGAACACATCAGGGTAGACATATACCATGGGGAGAGGAAGGAGGAAGGGAGCCGAGGAAGGTTGGTGTTGAGGGCGAGCGGGGATAGCATAGAACAGCGAGCATCCTCAAGTCACTGCACACATCGCAACGCATCCAACGAGCTACTGTTGTATCGCCATCGTCCCTCACATCGTGGTCCCAACACAGAGACGCTCCCCACGCGCACTACAGCCACGCACCTTTTCACCAGACACCGCCCGTGGCCAACTATTATTCATCAGTTAGATGCCTACTGCGCGGTGTCTCCTACGAATAGGCCGGTCGTTACACCACATGCTTGTTTGTTCACCAGATACCTGCGGTGGCACATCTCCTTTCCACACCTGAGGGGCGGTGCTGCCGGCCGCGCGAGCCTTCTTCGCCGCCAACACGAGGGGGGCCAGGTCCTCCTCGCTGACGGCGGCAGGAGCCCGGATCATGCTCGGCCGTCGCGAAACGTTCGGGCCGTCTTCGTCGTCCGAGTCGGGCTCCAGCATGCCCCTAGTAGCGGCTCTGGCCTCCGCCATGAATTTCTCGACCTTTTCGAGAGCCGCCTGGAACAAGCACGAGGTATTGGGTGGGTGGATCGGTTGGTACAATAGGGTGGGCGTTGTGAGAGGGGGGG